TTATGCATACCATGATCATCTTTGAAGATTATTCCAGTGACAGTTTCCTGTGTTACCCACAGTTTTTGTTGTTTAGTAGATCCACAAATCAGCCCCTGGAGGGCCATGTACCTAGAACATGATGCATGGGCCAACAGGCACACTTGGAGGTCAAAGTAGAAGGATGTAAATTTCATATTAAGGAATTTAGCACCATATATATTCTCTGTCTGTCTGTCTGTCTGTCTCTGTCTCTCTGTCTCTCTGTCTCTCTCCTCTCTTTTTGCTGTACTAGAATTGAACCCAAGGCCTCTTGCCTGCTAGGCAGATACTCTTAACACTGGGATGTGTTCCCTGGCTTTTGCTTTGCTATGCTTTTCTTTTCTTTCTCTCTGTCTCTCTCTGTCTCTCTGTCTCTCTCTCTCTCTCTGTCTGTCTGTCTCTCTCTCTCTCTCTCTCTCTCTCTCTCTCTCTCTCTCTCTTTCTCTCGTGATTCTTGGGCTTCAGCATCCCAAGTAGCTGGCATTACAGATAGGCACCACTGTGTCCTCCTCCTGAATTATAATTTTATGGAGTTAGACATGTCCATCTCTTTGTGTCAAAGCATGTGCTTGGGTACTAGATCTTCTAAGGAAAAAACTAGATCTTGGATGTTCATCTCTTGGGAGCGACCAGACAGTTAAACCAGATGATTGGATCATAGAGCTGGCATAAAAGTGCTGAGAAGCTTCTAGGGCCTAGGAGAGTGAAGCCTTTTCCCATTACGAAAAAGAACCAGGGCATTGGTCATATTCAACATCTTAAGTGGTTGTAGTGAGGTGGTTTTGTGTAAAATATTTAATACCGTTATCCTTTGTTCAGTTGCCCAGGAAGTACAGATGTATGTGTAGACTCCAGAGAAAGGAAAGGATTTTGTGTATTAAAACACAAGTACAAAACACATGAACAAAAGTGGCTCCTCAAACACTTCTGCCCTCCTTACCAACCTGTCTCCATCTCTTAAACATGTTTCAAGTACTTTGGAAAATTCCGGGCTACTAGTTAATAGATGTTAATGTTAGTAGAATATGTCCATAGAAAAGCAGATACAGACGTGCAAAAACTATAAAATTATTAAAGAGCTTCTCTCAGAAGAGTGAAAATTAATAATCAACTGAAGTGAGTGAAGGATGTTGATAGAACGTTTGACATAGGTTAAATATGATGCTGGTGTCCTAGGACCTCCCTGCCCCCCCACCCAAGCAAATCCTAGAAACTCCTCTATTGCAGGAAATATGTGTGGTGGTTGGAATCTCATGCATATTTGCTATTTGGATCAGTAGTACTCACTATTATTATTAATAGAAGGGCCCAGACTATCACGTGGATCTGTAATGAGCATAGACTTTATCCTTTGGAGTATGTTCAGTGACATGCCAAATTTGGAGTTTTGATACTTTTCTGATACATGGAGCATGGGCAGAATTGTTCAGAGACTGTGTCAGTGTTTCAAGGAAGAGATACACTGAGGCTGTGAACCACAGCAAGGCCAGTGGGGGAGAGAAGTGTATTAGTCAGGCTAGTTACTGCTTTATGTCTAGGTGTCCCCAAAGAGCTAATGTGCTCAGAGCAGCCTTTGGAGGAGGATTAGACCAGAGGACACGATAGCTAAATGTGCTGTGGTGCTGGGTGGAAAGAGGCCAGTCACTGGGAGCCTGACCTCCTACGGGATTTTCACTCTGGTTCTTGCCTTCACGGGCTGCTTCCTGGCTGCCATGACATGAACAGCTCAGCTCTCCGCTCATGCCTCTTTTACATTCTGTTTCTTCTTGGGAGCTGGCTTACTTTGGACTAAATGTGAGCCAAAATAAATCTCTCAAAAAAACAAAAACAAAAATAAAAATAGATCTCTCCCGCTCCAAATTGCATGTATCAGGTAATGTGTCTCAGTGCAGAGGAAAGGGATTAAGACAGCCATCATCTGTAGCAGTGCCACAGACTGTGTGGTTTAAACACAGAAATGTATCTCTTAACAGTGCTGGAGGCAGGCTAGCTGAGTGGGTTCTTGGTGAGGGCTCTGTCTTCCATCCAGGCTGCCTTCTTGTGACCTTTCACTGCAGTGGGCTAGGAAGGGAAAGAGGATGTTGTCTCTGGTGTCCGTCTGGTGAGGGAGCTAATCCTGTGTGCCAAGGTTCCAGCTTTACCACCTCAAAGCTTAATTACTGCCTAGAACCCTGTCTCCAAATATGGTCATATTCATAGGCCAGGGAGGTAGGACACAGTTCTCTCAATGAGCAGTCCCTCTCATTCAATGTCCTGGATGAGACATGAGTGGGCTTGGGAATCCCCTCAGGTCTTTGGGACTGGGGATGGGTGGGTTTTGGTGCCTGAAGGTTTCTTGATGGGTACATTTTGTGGGAATTGTTTTTATTTCTGTAAAGTTTTTATAAGCACTGGTAAGGAAGACTCTGCCTTTTTATACTTGATTCTACTTATAGGGAAAGTACTTCTAATCATTTTAAATTATTGACCTGTTGATCCTGTTCATCATTTCTAAAGGGGATAAATTATATATCCACTTTATTATTTGTAATAGTGATTTCCATTTTACAATGTGCCAAAGAAATAGACAGTACAAAATAAGGTGGCTTGAATTTGATGTTGAGGTTAACTTTTTATTTCTTTTCTAACCATTTTGATATCTTGATGAGATGCAGAAGTACCTTACTGACAGGCATTTTCAGCCTTTTTTGTGTTTTAACTTCTCCTGCAGTAAGATCTGGAGAAGATACGTTGTTTTCCTTCTGATAGTATGCCGATTTCTCAGTGTTTGCTGGTATTTTTAAATAATGAAGGCAATAGCCTACGAACAAGTGGCACCTAACACTTGCAGAGTCCGAGCAGTGCTTTGGAGAGCTTTTTTTGATGTGTTTTCCAGGAATAATACATCAAAGCTTGCTCAGACAAATTTACCTTATCTTATTATTTGTTTTTGTATATTTTGTATTTTTTTCTCTTAAATTTTTATTGTTTTTGTTAGTACTTCTTTATAGTTCATGATGATTACATTCACTGTGAAGAGTTGGTACGTGTGTATAACACATCTTATTTGTTTTTACTTTCTTTTGTTCTCCCCTCACTTCCCTTTCCTCCTGTCTCCTGGTCCCTTCCCATTTGCAAAAGATCTGCTCCCTGTTTTCTCTTATCTGTCTTTTATTTTGCTCTTTAAATTATTTATACTTCGGGTTTCTCATGGATGAGGATCCATGTGATACTTAAGTTTATGTGCCTGATTTATTTAGCGTAGCCTTATGGTCTTTTTATGGAAGAGTGATATATAGAAATTTACATATATGCATTTTCATTACCTGAACACACACATATAACCATCCCCGAGATAAATTCACTCTGTTTTAAAATCTGGTTGTTTGGGAGAATAATCTGTCTGAATGTGAGACAATGAGGGTGCTCCTTGGGCCTCAACTCAGGGCCCATTTGAAAGTTTGTTCTGTTTTTTTTTTTTTCTCTTTTTCCTTTTAAATTAAAAAAAAAAAAAAAGTATGATGTGTGTTCTTCCCTGTCTATACCTCACTCTGCCAAACAAAAGCACTGTGTTTTCTCAGCCCCCCACTGTGTATTCTCCAGCAGTTACAGTATCCCATGCTTATCACAAGGCCAGGATATTTGTGCATCATGGGGATGCCTGTCAGTAGAAGGGAGAGAAGGAACAGTTCCTGGGACAACTTGACTACTCCTTCCTCAAGGCCAGGATGTTTGTACAAGAAAAAAAAGATACTTTTTGCAATTGCTAAAAACAGATGAAAAACTGCTAGACCTTCATCCACTCCTATAGGAATAAAAAGCTTAATTCTTTCTGGGTTAATTGGTCATCATGATTTTTTCTTTTTCTCTGTCTTAATTTCTTTTTGCCTTTTCCTCTTCTCAAGCTGAATTTCTTTTTGGCTCTCTTTCTTCTCCAGTAAAGCTTTACCTGAGTAAGCTTGTACTTCCTCTCTGGACTTTCATTTCTGTTGACATCATCAGAAATCTCATATATGTAATCAAAACTACTGTGTACATTGGAAGAAAATGTGACCTTTGAACTTTTTATCTTTCATTTTCATATTAGCTTCTTGTTATGTAATGTATTTGAGAAATGACTGTGTGAGTAAATCTTATTAATATTGTTTAAATATATGACCCGGTACTGCAAAAAAAAAAAAAAAAAGAATATATATATATATATATATATATATATATATATGACTATTTGCATGATTGAAATGAAAATTAGTGACTGAGAAATATGTTCAACCTGTTAAGAGTCTTAAAGATATTAGTTTTTTGAGGCTGTTGTTTAACAGGCCCAACCTATGGGTATTGTATTTTAATTCTAATTCTAGTGCCTGACTTGGGTACTGTTTGATTACAGCCTAGACAATGGGAAGTTATCTGTTAACTTGTAAATTTTTGTCCTATAGAAAAGATAGTCTCAGTGTTACTTTGTTGCCCTAAAGAACATTAACTAGTTTAAGAAGAATCTTACATAGCTAACTTATTCTAATGCTTTTTAAAACAAAGTCTGTGATAGACACAGATGCTCTTGGAAACAGCCTTACCATCTTACTGGTTACTCCTTCAGTTACGGAGATGAATAAAATGTTGCAGACATGTTCGTACTGTATGTGTGAGAAAGCTTATTTTTAACATTTTGAAAATTATAGTTTGATACTGCCATAGTATTTCTGTTGTGTGTCTTTTAAGTTTTCCCTAGAAATTCACTTCCTGGAGTGTGCAAAGCAACATGCCACTTCTATACTCAATGAGTGAAAACTGTCCTAATTACTGTTGTATCTTTTTCAGGTAAAGTTTATGTAAAACAAAGCTTTACTAATTAGCATGTCCTGTACTGGAGGTATAGCTTAATGGTAGAGTGCATGCTTAGCATTTTAAGATTGTGGGTTCAGTGTTTGGAACACATATATTGCTATACATATATACATATATTTTTTTTAATTTAATTTAATTTTTATTTTTTCCAGACGTTAAGCTCACGAAACATTCTTCATGGAGAACATAACATTTGAGAAGATAACTTCTTGAATGGTAAAGGAAGAACCAATAGAGAAGTATATCTTATATATGCGCCTCATTGTGCTGCTTTGTAGAATTTAGCTTAGTAATGAAGCCACCATTATGTCCTCAGTCAGTGAAGTAAATATTGATATCAAAGATTTCTTAATGAGCATTAATTTGGAGCAGTACCTCTTACATTTTCAAGAGTTTGGTTTTTATACTGTGAAGGACTGTGGAGGAATAAATGATAGTGTGCTACATGAAATCGGAATATCACCTACAGGTCACCGTAGGAGGATACTAAAAAAATTACAAATGATCTTGTCAAACATGCAAGAAATTCCAATATATGCAAATATTCGTAAAACAAAGAATGAAGGCACTTCAAAGGATTGCCATGCTCCATCTTCTGAGAGGAACACCTGCATGGAAATTTCTGTTTCTGGAAGTACTCAGACACCTAGCTTGACACAGTTGGAGACAGTTAAAAATCTGGATCAGAATGACATTCATATGAAAAAAAGCCAATCTTTCCAAGCGGATGAGAAGTTAGCTCTTTCTGAACATGACTTGCCCATTTCAGAAGAATTACACCAGAATTTGGATTCTCGTGATTCATTATCTGGTAAGATAGAATCTTTGCTTATGAAGAAGACTACAGATGGTACAGTTAAAGAACAACCAACAGAAAAAGTTGATTTGGTGTCAGAAGACTTCAGCATACTTCCTAATGCAGACCCTGAATGTCATTTTTCCTGGAATTGTTCAGCGTCAGAAGCGCAGTCTACAAGTGGACCTAATGGCTTAGTAGAAAGATCACTACCATCCCCACTGTTTCCGTTTCAAGGAGAAATGGTTGTAAATGATTTGTATGTTCCGTCATCACCAGTGTTGTCACCTATGAGAAGTCGTAGCAAGCTGGTTTCAAGGCCCTCTCGATCTTTTCTGCTGAGACATCGGCCTGTTCCAGACATTCCAGGGGCGACAAAAGGAATTTCAGGGAGGTAAGAAATTTGATAAGATGTCAGTATTCAACTTGGAGTCATTTAATTTTTTCAGTATTTCTAAATTTTACACACACACGTACGCACACACACACTTACTCAACCAACGTTTTCTTCTCTATTCAGATTTTCTTCCTAATGTCATTTGTAATGTACCTTCTTTCCCAGAGTTTTTCTACCTTATAAGTCCCTGGGACTTCTGAGCTTTTTGTCCTTTTAATTGAGGGAGCATCTCTTCCATTAATTCTGTCTGGATTTTCCTAACTACATCTTCCCTCCACCTGGTATTGTAGTGTTTCATGACTACAGTTGTCATATTTCAGTTGCTGACTCTGTCTCCCAACTTGGTCATTGTTTTTCAACAGGAAACATGCTTTCAGGGCTTGTATCTTGGAGCTGGGCACAATGTTTGGCAGTGTTAGGTGATTCAAAGCACCAAGGTTCGTATGAGTCATTGTGCTAAGTAGGAAGGATGTAAGGAGGAATGGAAGTGCTTGCAGTCTACTGTAGAAGACAGATGTGAAAAGGTAGCATGACTTGATGGGAAGCAGAATTCTAGAACCCCACCAGCTAATGATATGTCACTGGTATCCTGACATGGCTGCACAGTACGAGAGATGACGATTTACAGTAGTAGAAAGAGAACACTTTCATCGGTTTTTCAAAGTTAACCCAGAATAGCTGTGGCTTTTTTCAGGGTTGAGGTGGGAAATAGTTTTTCCACGAAAAGGTAATACTTGTCTTTCTATTAGGGGGTGCGAGGCTGTTCAAGCTTTGTGGTTACCAAAGTGCTTTACAGACTTCTGTTCAGGGTGCAGGTTGACATTTCTCCACCATTTTCCTAAGCCCAAGTCTCGGCTACTGATTGTCTTGCCTTTAGGTACTTTTGGGGATTGAAGTGCAATTTGGGCTTGCGAGAGAATGGATAGCCCTTTACCATTTGCAAAGTAAACATGGCCGTTAACAGGGCTCTGTTAAAGTTTAAATGTCTCTTATTAGAGTATAAACTCTTTGAGGACAGAGACCCTAATGAATTTCTCTTTATGTTAACATTTCTAATGTTAATAGTGAAGTGTGGTAATTGCTAGGAATCAGTAGTCAAAATGCCATCTATTAGATCTTTGGTGATAGGTTGTTTTAGAATTTTTGGTGAGCTATTTAATCCTCATAGGAACCCTACAAAATTAGATAATCTTTACACTGTTCCACTCAACACATATTTTTAGGCTAACTGGTATTTCATTCTACTACATTTGACTCTAGAATCTACTCTCTTAACCACTCATTTATTAACTATTGTTAAAAAGTTGACTACATATCAAAGAACTAGATTATTTTGTAGGATTATAGGTCATTAATTTTGTAAGCCCTTTTAGCTTTAAGTCTTTTATTTCATTCAGAAGGCTAAGACAAGAATATAAGCAGAGTCTGAGCTACATTGTGAGTTCAAGCCTATATGTCACAAATTTTAGAAAGGATCATTTGATGCTCAGCTTGTTGTATATGTTGGGTTGCAAAACTGCACCTTCATCCTCTGAGAGTCCTGGCAAGGTCTGAGAATTAAATTGGTGTAAAATAGATTAAAAGGGAAAATGTACACATTTACTACCACAAATAAATATAAGTTTTACCCCACATTAGAAACCTTGTAAGGAGGGACCTAAAGAAAGAGTCTGCCACTTACATAATGAATTGTCAAAGAGTAGCAAGTTGTGAAAAAGTAAATTATGTGTCTTGGGAGAGGCAAGGGTTGACAGGTAAGTTCAGGTAAGTTATTCTGGAAGGCTGAGGTAGAAGGATCACATGGTTAAGCTCAGCATTGAAAAGTTAGCAATTTAGGGAGACTCTATTTTAAACAAGGACTGGGAATGTAGCTCAGTGCAGAAGGCCTTGGTCCAGTCTCCAATACCCCCCCCCCCCACGAGTTATTTTAACAGTGTTAGTAGAGATTTCTTATGCTCTCTCTGACTTCCACTCTGTTCTTGCAGACAGGTGGTTACTGCATTCATACAGGTTTTTCATTTTCTGTTTTTAAAGAATACCAAGGTCAGAGTGACATCTTTGCATAGAATCCCTTTAATTCAAAATAGTTAATACTGTGTTAGTGTAGTAATAGTTATTACTATTACTAATAGTTAACTAATAGTAATTAGTTAATAGTGTAATAGTGTACTAATAGTGTATTTTTAAATCCTTGAATTGTGAATGTAAGCTTTGCATCATACAAAAGATTATTATGATTCAGTTTTTGAAAATTAGAATTGAAATAACATTAAAATTAGTGGTGAATAATTTAGTGGTAGCTTATCGCAGCACTGTTTTCCTGTGATTTTTAGGTTAGATTTAACCTTTATTTCTTTGATTATGGAAGTTAATAGACTTTGCACTTTTGATCCTGAGATCATAAAGTGAACAAATAAATAATAATACCTTCAGATGTGATCCTGAATATTTCTTATGATCCTGCTTTGTACTGCAGTAAAAATTGGATAATTTTAAAGTTACAGCTTTTTAAATGGAATGGAACTGTGGTTTATAAAATCTGAGTTTTTCTTTAATCAAATAATGACTTCTACAAATGATACTTAGTGAATTTTTTGATCTAGCAAATAATATTTCTTTGCAGATGATGATTTTAACATAATTACTTGTTAAACGGCTCATGAAACTGTTTAAATGAATATGATGCAGTGTTTTCCTCTGCATGGAGCCTCTCCCTAGTCATAGTTCTTTCCTTCCGCCTTGTAATTTGTATAGCTCGCACCCTGCCCGTCTTCTTTCTTGTTATTTTATCTGACACAATTGACGTTCTAGGTCAGTGATGGCACACTTTTAGAGACCAAGTGCCAAACTGCAACTCAGAACTCACTCATTTATTGCAAAGTGTCAACACTGCAATCAAACCTGAATAGTGAAGTTTTAGGTTATAAAAATCCAACTCATACATTAATATCTTTTGTCTTAAGAGACCAATAACATGCATGCCATAGGTTTGCCACCTCTGTTCTAGGTAAATCAGTTCTGTGTTCTTCTGGGGGTGCTCCTAAATTCTTGCCTGCTCTTTCTGTGGAGGGCTGGGCTTGGTCAGGAAATGGGGTCAATGAACCTTAGAATATTTTCTTAATTTCTGTCACTTGAGGCCTCAGCTGCTGCTACTTTCTTTCTTTTTTTGAATCACCTTCACCTTGAAGCTCTCTCAGCAGAAAGCAATTCCAAGTAGCATTTGCTAGCATTATGGCCATGAGCACTGATCTTTCTCAGAGGAAATCTGATAGAGTAAGTAGCAGATACCTTCAAGCCTCTAATGGTGACACCTTTCTTCTGCTCTGCAGCTTAATGGTTTTTGCATATCTTTCATGCAGCTATTTCATATTTGACATAGATCACAGAAACCTTTCTTTTTGATGTAGTGCCGTTTAATGTTTGGAGGAGGGGAAAATAAAGATGTAGAAGTTGAGAGCAGGAGGTAAGCACAACTGTGATTTGATGGAAGTTTATCTTATAAAACACATGAAATGTCAAACCTGTTAGCAAAAAAATGTAAAGAACAGTAGTATGCAATTGTTTACTGCACTAAATACAAAAGAATAGAAACTTCTTACAGCTTTTTCATCTTGAAGAAAATTTCACAGTTGAAGGAAAATGCTTAGCAACCTTAAAATTCAAGTTCTTAAAAAATTCTTTTCTTAACTAGCTCTATGAAAAAATAGGTAAATTATTTCAATTTTTGCAAAGTTATCAGCACCTAAATAATTAAAATTTAAATAAATTTTTTAATTTAATGTATCTAACTGCTTGATACACTTTAAAGTTCCAAAGTCATTCATTTATACTTTATTTTTCATGAGTAAAAACATATGAATTACAAGCTTATTAATAGATAAAATACTTCATGGTAATATTTTAGATTTGTTCCCTCTGTAATGATCAGTTATTCTTAAGGACATTTTGGGACAGCCCCAGGATCATCTGTGTATCATGAATTTCATGTTATTAGTCTGTGCTGCAGGTAACCCACTCTTGAGTTCAGATATGTGTTAAGTAAATATGATAAAAATGAAAAAGCTCAGGATAGTTTTAAACCTTTGCAAAGTTTTTCCTCTCAATTAATCTGGACAGCGACGAGTATTGTGTTAATAGTTGTGGTAAGTGCATCTGTTAGAATGTTCTGTGATGAATGATTTATATATATATATATATTATATATATAGTATATTATTGATTATTTGAATTTTAATTGATTATTTTTTGGTGACTGTTTTGGCCTAGTAATAACAGGTTAAGTGTGTCTCCTAAAGAAAGTGTTTTTGACATTTATCTTTATGCCACCGCCTTTATTGGCAATTTTAGAACCTCTGAGTGTGTGCTGAACATTCACTTTGAACAAACAAACAAACAAAAACGTCATTGTGTCATTACGTCTCCCTTCTTCTTTATGTGGGTTCTTTACACAGACCATTTTAATTTGGATATTGAAGATAGTTTCTTTGCTTGCTTTACTTACTATAACAAAAACTATAGTTGGGTGCTTAAATAACAGAAATTTATTTTTTGACAGTTGTGGAGGCTGAAGTTTGACATCAGGGTGCCAGATTGGTTGGATTCTGACTGAGGCTTGCCTGGCTTTCCAATGCTGACTTTTTGATACCTGCTCATAATGCCTTTTCTCAGAAGCCAGGCTTCTGTGTCTTTCTAGAAGGCCATCACTATTAGAATAATAGCATAAAGCCTTCAGTGTTATTAGAATAGGGCCTCTTTTAACCTTAATTAAGATTGTACTGCCAAATATAGTCACACTCAGATTAAGCCTTCAGCATTTGGATTTTGAGGGAACATAGTTCTGTTGGTAATTTTCTTGCAGAGAAATTGTGTATTGAAGGAATGAGATTTAGGTATTTTCAAAGGCCTTTTACAATCATATTACATTCCACAGGTAAAATAACTTTATAGGATAGTAGCCTGTCTCAATATCTGAAGATTCCCTCTACTGACATTTTTGT